AAAGAAACAAGAAAAGACACAAGAAGAACGAAAAAAGAAACAAGAAAAGAAACAAGAAGAACGAAAAAAGAAACAAGAAAAGAAACAAGAAGAACGAAAAAAGAAACAAGAAAAGAAACAAGAAGAACGAAAAGAGAAATTACAGCAGTGGTTGGAGGAAAAAGAAAAGAAACAAGAGGAGAAATTATAGCAGCTGTTGGAGGAAAAAAATAAACAAGAAGAGAAATTACAGCAGTTGTTGGAGGAAAAAGAAAAAGAAACAAGAAGAAAGACAACAGCAGTTACAAGAAAACCTACAACAATGGCAGCTCGAACAGCAAAATAAACAAGAGAGACTACAGCAGTGGTTGGAGGAAAAAGAAAATAAACAAGAAGAGAGATTACAGAAGTTGTTGGAGGAAAAAGAAAAGAAACAAGAAGAAACATTACAGCAGTGGCAACTGGAACAAGAAAGGAAACAGGAAGAAAGTCAGCAGCAACTACAGGAAAGCCAACAACAGTGGCAAGAAGTACCAATGGAAAACATTAGTGAATTTAAAAGCGAATTAGATACATTAAAGTATGATTTATTGTATTTTACACAAGGAGGATACATTAGCCATCGACTTAATCAGCCCCAGACAATGACAAGCCTCTTCAGGACCCTGAAGCTAAACCCTAATGCAGACATATTCAGACCCGTTAGAAGTCACATCTCAGATATGAATGTCAGTACCAGGAGTGATTCAGTAAGAAGGAAGCCACAGGAATACGATGGGAAAGCACCATGGGAAGCATATAGAGCACAGTTTGAGCTACTGGCAGAGATGAACGGATAGACAGAGGAGCAGAAAGCAGTATATCTAGCAGCGAGCTTGAAGGGACAACCACTGGAAATACTTGGACAGTTGTCAGCAGATGACAGGCACAACTATAGAGCACTGGTGTAGGCTCTAGAACTCAGGTACAGAACCCAAAATCAGTCAGAAGTCTACAGGGACAGGTTCAGGACGAGAGTCCGTGCTAAATGGGAGAGCCTGCAAGAGCTGGCACAGGACTTGGAAAGTATGGCACACAAGGCCTACCCAACGGCACCACTCGATCTCCTCAAGTTGTTGCTGAGGGATCAGTTCGTAGATGCCTTGGACAGTCCACAACTTAAGATACATGTGAAGCAAGCACACCCCTCTACCATGCAGGATGCAATGGCCAGAGCTCTCGAATTTGAATCCTACGTTAAGTCCAGCACAGAGGTACCGAGGTTGGTACAGTCATCTGAATTCAAGGCCAGAAAAGGTCAGCTTTCAGAGAGGTTTGGGGGACTTTGCTGGCACTGTAAAAAACTTGGGCACAAGAGAGCTCAATACTGGTAACTTCATCACAGGGGTAGATGCTACAGCAGGAAAGGCT